TTTATGTTATGATTCATAACAGTAGTAAAATTATGAAGTATCAACAAAAATAATGTTATGGTTGGGAGTCACCACAACATGAGGAACTCTATTAAGGGGTTGTGGTATTAGGAAGGTTGACAACCACTGCTTTAAAAGGTCTCTTTCTAAAAAAAAATTCTACCTGTGCCTTCTTAGTTTTTTGATTGGAGAACCAAGCAGTAGCTTCATATTCTCTTCTCTGAACATATTCTTGCTTGTAAGAGGGTTGCATTTTCTCAGATCAGTTTTCCCCCATCTGATTATTCACTTGTCTCTTATCGCTCCATTTATGTTGTGAGGACAACCAGCCAGCCACTCTTTCTTCATCCTCCTATTTTACAAAATTCCAAACAAGCAAACAGGCTCCAGTCCAGTCATTGACCATAACCTGTCTTCTATTCTGCTCTTCTAGCCTTCTTTCTCTTTTCCACACAAAACGGGAAGCAACCACAAAGTTATGAGATCCCATGTATTTTATTCTTCCATCAGTTATCTACCGGATATCCCATTCATAATGGCGACAAAGCAAGCCTTCATTACCTTTTCTTTTAAAAAGAATTAACTACATTCCCAGTGAAAATAAAAACTCCTATTATCAGCAGAAAATAATTTCTTCTAAGTTACTTTTAAATCTGTGACTTACTGCTTCCAAGATCATCTGTTTGGAAGTTTTGAAACAATAATCAAGGGACACCAATATGCAAGCTTCTTGGACAGTTGAACCAGTTTACTTGTCCGAACATATCTCCCTCTATGACCCACCTCTGAGTTTACGATCATCGGGGGAGGCCCTGCTCTTGATCCCACCACCCTTGCAAGCATAATGGCTGGGACTAGAGACAGGACCTTCTTGGTGGTGGCCCCCCATCTGGAATGCACTCCCCAGTGAAATCAGGGAGACTCCTTCTCTCCTTCAGGAAAAAAAAAACCTCAAGTCTTGCCTTTGGGACCAAGCATTCAGACAGCTGGCAGAGCAACAACTGTAATGAGTCGTGAGAATTGTAAATGAAGAGATCTTGGACTGTATCGCTGGACTATGATTTGGATTTGTGGACTAAGGCTTGGTCGTGTCAATATTTTAAGGGCTAATATTTTAATCTATTTTGATGTATTTTATACTGTTGTTGACTTGTTTGATGTTAATTGTTGTACTGTGATTGTTTCCTTGTCGGCATCTAATGACTGCCAGTTGTAAGTCACCCTGAGTCCCCCCTCGGGGGTTGAGAAGGATGGGATACAAATGCTCTAAATAAATAAATAAATAAATAAATAAATAAATAAACTATTGCTCACTACAACTTTATGTACCTTTGAGTTCCGTGAAAAGAAATCGTGGTTTGAACATTCTCTTGAGATTACCACTAGAGAGTGCCACAACACAATTTTGTAGTGGAGCCCTATTCTCTTTTATGAGTTTGTTTGTAGGAGTTAGTTGAATTTCTTTTTTTCTAAACAAATATTCTTTATTGAGTATTTACAAGACACAAAACAAAATTTAAAACCATAAGTATACAAGGAAAAAAAGGAAAAAAATGTGGAAAAGAAGGGGGAGAGAGGAGAAAAGAGGAGAGAAAGAAAGAAGAGAAAAAAACAAAAAGTGACATATTGATTCCACTTCCGGGCTTCTTCCTGGAGGTTTTTTGCCTTTTCCTTCTTCTTCTTCCCTTTGTTTCTTCTTATCTCTTTTCTTCCTTTCTTCTATAGGATTTACTTCTGGCGGATTGATAATTTCTTTCCCTATAGTTATCTTATTATTCTTACTTTAAATATTCTGTTATCAATGTCCAGTCTGGTTCCCCCCCCCCCCAATCTTTTCTTTGGATTTTTGTATCAGGTAGGTTAATCTATCCATATTTCTTATGTCCATAATCTTTTTATTCCAATCTTCTATTTTTGGTATTTCACTTTTTCTCCATATTCTCACATAACATATTCTTTCAGTTGTTGTTGATGAGAAGAGGAGTTTGTCTATGCTACTGTCTAATTTTTGTTCATTAATTCCTACTAAAAATATTTCTGGTTTGAGTGGTATCTTTATTTTTATTTTTTGTATATTTTCATGTATTTTCTTCCAAAATATTTTTGCTTTTTTACATGATCACCACATGTGGTAGAAGGTTCCTTTGACCTCCCCACATTTCCAACATTTTGAATTTATGTTTTTATAACATTTCCTAGTTTCTGTGGTGTCATGTACATCATTTTTACCCAATTTTCTTTTAGATCTTATGCACACGTATATTTCAATTCTTTTATTCCAATTATCTCCCACTCTTCTATTCCTATTGATCTTCCAATGTTTTTCACCCAAATAATCATACATTCTTTTACTCCTTCTTCCTCTGTGCTCCACTCTAGTAGTTTTTTTGTATATTTTAGTTATCATTTTTTCTCTTTTCATTATTTTGTCCCAGATGGTTTCTCTTCGTTGATAGGATTCCAACCTTGGGTAAACTAATTTGTAGCCAGAAGTAAATCAGTCCTGGGGACATCAATAGCTTGGTGTCTTACATTTAAAACGCAACAAGGCATTTCCTAATCCTTTGCTCCTGAAGTTGTAACCCAGCTACCCACCAAAGGAGTGAGATGAAAGTTTGGTGCCTGGCACGCCTTCCTACTTTGCCAGCCAGATCAACATGCAAACGAGATATAAAGGCACCAGGAACAGAGGTTTATTTGCTTTTAGGCCTGAAAGGGTGTTTGAGTTTTGGTGGGTACACGTGTCCCCTTCATCTCCCTCCAGGGATTATAATGGTAAAGGGTTAACTAGTCCCTTCCATATTGTGTAATTTCCAGCCAGGCTGCTGGAAATGGAGTCTGTTGCAAACTAGAGAAATACTAATACTTCACTAGTTCAAAACCTCATATAATACAAGAAGTATAATAAATTCATATTTGACTTTGGAACTTGTCTTGAGTTAATTTGGGGTGTGTGTGTCTCTTTTTCAACAGCACTCCTACCACTTCAACACCCTGGGGCATTGGAGCCCCTGGTGGTGCAATGGGTTAAACCCTTGCAACGGCAGGACTGCTGGCCAAAAGGTTGGCGGTTCGAATCCGGAGAGCGGGGTGAGCTCTTGTCTGTCAGCTCCAGCTTCTCATGCAGACCATGAAAGAAGCCTCCCACAGGATGGTAAAACATCCGGGTGTCCTCTGGGCAACGTCCTTGCAGATGGCCAATTCTCTCATACCAGAAGGAACTTGCAGTTTCTCAAGTCACTCCTGACACACACAAAAAAAAAACACACAGGGGCAAATTGTCCCTTTGGGGACGGGGCCTGCTGAGCATCATCACATGACACGCGGCAGGAGACGGCCTTTTTACACTTCAAGTGCTGAGGAAGCATTGCAAGATGCTTCCTCAGCAACAACAGAGAGGTAAATTTTTGAGCCCTTTCTCCCATGTGATGGGGAAAGGGCAATGCGCGTTGCTGCCCTTTCCCTCATCTGATGAGGGCAGAGCACCAATGCACCTTGTCCCCTTGTCCCTGTCTGAAAGGTAAGAAAGGAGGGGTCAACGTTTTGATGGCATTCGCCTGCTGTTTCACCGGCAAATGCTAGCGAAACGGCACAGGGATCTAGGACATGTAAAGAGGTCCCTAGTGGTTTAATTTATGTTACACTACAGGGTGACGTGTTTCTATTCTCCTGATTCATTCATGTTGTTTAGGGGTGCATCTACCATGAAGGATTAATGCAGCTTGTCATCACTCCGATTCCCGTGACTCAAGGCTATGGAATCCTGAGGACTGTAGTTTTTACAAGGTCTTTATAGTTTTCTCTGCCTAAGAGTGCAGGTGCCTCACCAAAGGACAAATACCATGATTCCATATCATTGAGCCATGACAATTAAGGTGGTGCCAAACGGCATTAATTCTACAGTACCCTATGATAGATTGGGCTCTGCTTTGTCTAATGCCATAATATGCCTGCCAGCCACCTCTAGCTGCAACAGGTGCTTGTTATTGTGACGTTCTTCATCATCTAGGGCAGTACGTATTGATCTGCTCACATTTGCATGTTTTCAAACTGCTAGGTTGGCAGAAGCTGGGGCTAACAGTGGGAGCTCACCCCACTCCCCAGGTTCAAACTGCCAACCTTTCGGTCAGCAAGTTCAGCAGCTCAGCAGTTTAACCCATTGTGCCACCGGGGGCTCCAAGTAAAAATATTCTCTGCTGTAAATAGTTGTCAAAATGCATCTGCCTTCGTCTTCTCTAGGCATCCCAAACAACTTCATTCATGCAGAATTGGCTTCACCAATGTGTACAAAACCAGTGTTTGTCTAATACTTAGTAGTATTCTCTTTAATACTTTTTTTTTCAAGCAGTTCAAACTCCTTAAGTGAAATTCAGGCCTCTTTTACACTGCCATATAAAATCTAGATTATCTGCTCTGAACTGGATTATATGGCTGTGTATAGACTCATATAATCCAGTTCAAAGAAGATAATGTGGATTGTCTCCTTTGATAAGGGACCTCACTTAAAAGCATCTGATGCCATACTCTCTTACGAATTATTCACACTGACCCTGGCTGCATCTACACTGCAGAATTGAAGCAGTTTGACACCACTTTAACTGCCAAGGCAGAACACTATGGAATCCTGGGAGGTGTAGTTTCACAAGGTGTGTAGCCTACTCTGCCAAGAAGTGCTGGTGCCTCACCAAACTACAGCTTGCAGGATTCCACACCATTGAGCCATAGGTGATAAAGTACTGTCGAACTGCATTAATTCTGCAATGTAGATGCACCCCTTCCCCATTATCCAACCAATGACATTCATCTTTATAAAAACAAGACGTTTTACCAGATATTGAAATTAGGGGGACAAGAATGTGGAAGCATTATTGATTGATGCAGGAATGCTTTATGCAAAATGGAAGGACTACTTGGGAAAAATACAATGGTAACAAATGGCAAAACAAAAGAATTAACCTTGCACTGAATAATAACAGTAGTTGTTTGTTTGATGCACTCACCATCCTTTGTTGTCTGTCTTCGGTGAAGAGGAAATGCATGCCAACTAGCGGCTTCCGTTTGAAGTGGTTATTGATATATACTTTACACTTGTCCTGTTCCAGGAAGCGGATGGTTTAGAACTTGTTAAGCACCAAACTCTCAAAACAATCTAAGACTGACTCAGCAGTTGCAAACCTCAGATTTTTAGCAAGTGGGGAGGACCTGTTAAAACCAGAGGCACAGACTGGGGGGAGTTCAGGGAAGAAAGAGAATAAGCCGCAGTATCGTATATCATTCCTCCATGTTTGCCTAATCTTTTTTCTTCTCATCCTTGTGTATGGTTCAGTCCCCATCAGCATTTAGCTATTTCGATAGAAAACATCCACACACACAAACATATACAAACAAGATTAGATACATTTATTTATCATATCTGAAGCAAACCGAGGGTACAGTTGTAATGTATTTTTTTTTTAAAAAAAAAAAACACACACACACGATATGAAGGTGGCCAATTGAAATATTCATACCTAACTCCAACAGACAAGAGTTCTTTCTCCCACCCTGGACATTCCACAGATATATAAACCCATGTTTCCTAGTTTCCAACAGACCTCACAACCTCTGAGGATGTCTGTCTCAGATGCAGGTGAAACGTCAGGAGAGAATGCTTCTGAAACATGGCCATATAGCCCGAAAAACCTAGAACAACCTATATTTGTATGTTCAGGCATTGAATGTTTGCGTTTTATGATTAGCATCTGCCCTGAGTCCCTTCAGGGGAGATAGGGTGGAATATAAATGTATTATTATGATTATTATGATTATTATTATTATTTTGACTGGTTGCCCTGACATGACAAATAAATAATAATAATAATAATAATAATAATAATAATAATAATTATTATTATTATTATTATTATATCAGTGGTTCCCAACCCCCAACCCCCCCCCCCCTTTTTTTTTTTTAACCAGGGACCACTTTGACCAGGGACCACTCTCCAACATTAGTACCGAAAGGGTTACGAATCAGTTTTTGGTCAACTTTAGTTTCTGTTTGGTTATCTGGGGTGCTGATTCAGAGAARTGCATTGGACATACCACATCAGCTTTGGTTTCTGATACAGAACATATGCCATCCAGTAGTCACCATCTGCTTGCCCACAGAAAACCATATTTAATAATCTAGAACTGATGTGGTCTATCCAATGCAATTTTCTGAATCAGAACCCAAAATAACCCCAGGAACACACCTAAAAATGAAGTCACCAAGGTGCCCCTGCTTCCAGGCGCCACATGGAATGGCTCCACTCAAGGGGAGGGAGGGAGGAGGAGGAGAAGCAGGGGTCAGGAAGCTTGTTGTCACGCCTTTTGTGGGTAGTCAGCCTCTCCCCTCCCGACATCCTCATTGCCTCGGCATTATAAGAGGGTTTAGTGAGACCAGGCGTCACTCTCGTTGCAACGGTGTAGTAACGGTGAGGCCGTGAACCATATTTTAGTTCTCAGCGACCACTGATGTATATGCAGCCTATGTCTATAATCATCCCTCTACATTTGGAGTTTTGATATTTACAGTTTTGAACATTCACAGATTTGATTAAACATCCTCTCTTTGTTGTTCATTCGTTCAGTCGCTTCTGACTCTTCGTGACCTCATGGACCAGCCCATGCCAGAGTTCCCTGTCAGCCGTCACCACACCCATCTCCTTCAAGGTCAATCCAGTCACTTCAAGGATGCCATCCATCCATCTTGCCCTTGGTAGGCCCCTCTTCCTCTTTCCTTCCATTTTCCCCAGCATAATTGTCTTCTCTAAGCTTTCCTGTCTTCTCAATATGTGGCCAAAGTACTTCATCTTGGCCTCTACTATCCTTCCCTCCAATGAGCAGCCGGACTTTATTTCCTGAAGTATGGACTGGTTGGATCTTCTCGCAGTCCAAGGCACTCTTAGAACTTTCCTCCAGCACCACAGCTCAAAAGCATCTATCTTCCTTCTCTCAGCCTTCCCTATGGCCCAGCTCTCACATCCGTAGGTTACTGCGGGGAATACCATTGCTTTAACTATGCAGATCTTGGTTGCCTCTCAGTGGTATGTTTCTGGACTTTCTCATCTGCAGGGTTTCAGATGATGATATCAGGCGACATCTATTTGACTCCTTGGCTGCTGGTGTGTGGCTTTCCTCAGAATTCAGTCTTGCTCCATGATCTATTTCAATAACTTCATGAAAACACTGGAGCAGTTGAACTAGGCACATTGTTACAACTCTGCAAATGACATACAGCCCTATTCATTTTCATTTATTAGAGAAGCTAGTAATGGCCACAGGAAGTAGTAATGGGTGGAATGAAAATGAATAAAGAAACTTAAGCCAAATATGACAAACGTAGGAAACAGTGGGACTGAGAAATTAATCTACTTTGAATAGGATGCAATTATCCTGGTGAGGAATCAAACTGGCAGTCTAGGGTTGACTTTGGTCACATCCATATCATGTGAATTGCCATGGTTCAATTCTCTGGAATCGCAGGAGTTGTAATTTTGCAAAGTCTTTCTCTTCCCTTTCCTTCTCTGTCAGAGGGCTGGGACCTCACCAAACTACAACTCCCAGGAGTCCATTCATTGAGCCATGATCATTAAAGTGATCTCAAACTGCATTAATCCTATAGTGTTGATTCAGCATTTGTCCCTGAATGCACCGATTGTGGCTATACTCAGGAATGCCTTTGGTCAACTTAAGTTAGAAGGCCAAACGCAATATCAGAGTTACTAAGAGTAGAGACATCACACTGGCAACGAAGGTCCACATAGTTAAAGCAATTGCATTCCCTATAGTAACCTATGGATCAGAGAGCTGGACCATCAGGAAGGCTGAGCAAAGGAAGATAGATGGTTTTGAACCGTGATGTCGGAGGAAAGTTCTGAGAGTGCCTTGGACCGCAAGAAGATCCAACCAGTCCATACTTCAGAAAATAAAGCCTGACTGCTCATTGGAGGGAAGGCAAAGATGAAGTACTTTGGCCACATAATGAGAAGTCAGGAAAGCTTGGAGAAGATAATGATGCTGGGAAAAATGGAAGGAAAAATGGGGCCGACCAAGGGCAAGATGGATAGATGTTATCCTTGAAGTGACTGGTTTGACTCTGAAGGAGCTGGGGATGGTGATGGCTGACAGGGAGCTCTGGTGTGGGCTGGTCCAGGAGGTCACGAAGAGTCGGAGGCCACTTAATGAATAAACAACAACAACAAAATTACATCTAGACAAATTCAAATTGGATGTTACATGGATTAAAACTATAATATGTAAATGTGTTTGTGACTGCATTTGCTCCCTGGTTTTGAGTTTTAAAATTGCTTTTACTTCTCCTTGTATGTAGCAGAGAAATGTCTACTCAAAAGCCATTTTAATGAGGAAGGGCACACCCCATAAATATTAAAAATGCCTTGGCTCCAACGTCTCTTCTTTCCCAATCAGAAACTCCAGTTCTAAAGCTTGGTTCTCTTCGCAAACGGAAGTAGATTACTTTAACCTTAGCTGAAGAAAGTGGGAACTATGTGCCTTTTGCTCAAGCTGATTTTTTTCCACAGGTGTCTCCAATATTTACCCCGTAGAAGAGGAATTCTCAAACTTTTTCAGCTATGGAGTCTCCTGAGTGGAGGGAGAGAAATAGGGTTTTGGAAGCAAAGAAGGCGGGGGTGAGGGGAGGCTCTGGGCAATGAGAAAAAGAGGGTCTGAGTTGGGGAGAAAGGGAGGTGGGGGAGAAAGGGAGGATGCTGCTGCTACTGTTTCAGCAGCTCCAAACTTTAATTTCCTTGCATAACTGCAGTTAGCACACCAGGTTTACTCACTAGCTGCAGAAAATCTTGCCCACCATCAGTTTAGATTCTGCTTACCTAGCAGTTCGAAAACAATAATGTAAGTAGATCAAAAGGTACCACTTTTGCAGGGAGGTAAAAAGGCACCCATAAAGACATGCCAGCAATTTGTTCAGGAAGGTGTCCACAGACAAGCTCTTCGGCATGGAAAATGGAAAAACGGCACCTCTCCATCCATGACCGGAGATGAGCACAGCCTCCAGATGCCAGAAATGGAAAAGATGGGAAGCCTTTACCTCTGTTTATGTACGTCTGTCTTTGTCAATTGTATAACAGCATTGAATGTTGCCGTATGTGTTCTGTAATCCACTTTGAGTCCCCTCGGGAAAATAAAGTGGAATATAAATAAAGTATATTATTTCTCAGGAAGAGGAAGAGAAAGGAGGAGGAGGAGGCAGGAAGCAGCATGGTGTTGTGGAGCCCCTCACAATCTCTTGCGGAGCTCCAAGGGCTCCTCAGAGCACAGTTTGAGAACCAATGCCCCAGAAGACACTTAGCTTCCTTTGCCACTAACTGCAAATACTGTCTTTTAGCTATCTTCATGGCATCAGTAACTCTTCTGCTCTTGTTCCACATGTGGTCATGTTTCTATCTGATATCATTAACCAAAATGATTACTACCTTCACGTTTCTATACTTACAGTTAATATGGTTAAAGAGAACATTATGACTACTTTCAATTTTTGCTTTTGGGTGAAAGGGGGATTCAAAATAAGATTACTTCTATGTAAAATTATGTGGTGGAAGAGTCTTAAGATGCAACTGTCTAAAGAAGCAAACTTTCCCTTTGCCAGCAGTTTTCACAGCATCTTTAGATAACTGGGCTTCTATAGGAGTGATACTGTTGCCCAAGATTAATTCCATTAAAAAAATTCATCCGAATTCATTTTACAGAAGACAAAATGAGGAGACATTTGGGGAAAGGGCTATAGGAGAGGAAGGGTGCAGAAGATCAAGTCTGGTCAGAATGAGCAGTAAATAAATAGCATACACAGTAGAGTCTCACTTAGCCAACCTTCGCTCATCCACCGTTCTGTATTATCCAACATAGTCTGTCTTCTGTCCGGATTCACAGCTGTTTCAATACATTGTGATGTTTTGGTGCTAAATTCGTAAATACGGTAATTACTACATAACGTTACCATGTATTGAACTGCTTTTTCTATCGATTTGTTGTAAAACATGATGTTTTGGTAATTAATTTGTAAAATCATAATATAATTGGACATTTAATAGGCTTTTCCTCAATCCCTCCTTATCCAACATTCTCCTGGCCCATTTATGTTGAATAAGTG